ATGAAAATCTTTGCTTTTGTGAGTGTATGGAGACACATGTTGTTTGAGAACTTGACAATGGTTATCCTATTTTTCAACAATTTCTTGTATATAACTTGTGTAGACAGTCTGGCATCCTAGGTGCATGATATATAAAAATAGATCTTAGAAGACTTGACTTATAAGGTCATCTTTCGTTCGGAATTGATTGCTTGAGTAGTACTTTCTCTGTTCTTTATTTGCTAATACGACATATAGGGTAGATACGTTAATTAAGAAGCGAGAAAGAGGATGGAGATGAGTCCTTGTTGATCACTTGGCCTACGTAACAAAATGATTGAGAAAATCATTGAAGCATGACTGTCTAATATAAGAAATGTTGCAAATAGTATGAACTTTCAAAAGAATGGAGGAAATTTGTTGATAGTTCTCATTATAATGACAGATTTGGTAAGCAGACTTACAATTACACAAGTGAAAATAAAAGAAGCTAAGTAAATTCACCAATTAATAGCTAGTTTTTTAGAGCTACCAATTTGCATCATTAGACCAAAGATTTCCCTTTCGAGAAGACCATTAAAAAAACGGTGATAGTTCATGAAAGTTTCCATAGAAAGACCTCTTAGTTCTAACAAATGGATCACATACTGATAGAAACAAAATGGGCTTTTGAACTTTCAAAAGAATGGATTAACTTTCAACAAATTTCGATTATGGGCTTCATCCATCATGGCCTCTCATTTTCTTATTAAGGAATTATATTTTTACATGGTATCAGAGCTACCGTGACACAAAGGTCACTAGTTCGAATCTCATCCACCTCTCCTTTCAAGTGGAATATCTCGCGATGGGTATGAGGGGGTTCATGGAGCATCCACATTTCAAGCCTAAAAGGCTTTCATGTGATTGTATTGACGAAATTGAGCCTCACTGAACATACCCTACACGAGCCCCAAAACAACCCAAAACCCAAAACCAAAACCAGTTTTAAGCCCCTAGTTTTATTTCAATACCAGCACCTTCGTTGGTTGCTCATGCAGGCCGCTGGGGATCGGAGTACGCGGCCTTTCCTCTCGATCGCCGGCAAGTCCTTTGTTTCCCAGTACACCGTGATTTTCACCCTCGTTTCCAATACGCTGTTTTGCTAGCGAAGGGGCTCGCGATCTTAGCACTCTGATTATTGGCCGACCTGCTGTACCGGCCTCCTTCTATCACGTCCTACCGGATTTCTTTACATCGGGACTCAAGGTTGGTGTAGTCCCCAGCCTCCCCTTTTGTTTCTTTTCTTGCCAGCTTTCCCAACTCTGGTGGTGGTGCTCCGGTCACCACTTGGCTGATTTTTCATCCCTCTTGCCTCTTGCGGCATCTGATTATCTTTTAGTGTATGTTTGTGGCAGCGTCTTGGTTGTTGCAAGCCCGCTCATCGTTGTTGTTTGATCTTTGTTGTAGTCCCTTCGCGGGATTGGTTGTGTGTATTTCTGTGTGTTTTGTTACTCAATCTCCTCTTTTTCTTTTAGAAGTTTCGTTATGGACTGCCGAAACCTACTTGACGCCCTTACGCATATTCACTTGAGCGATGATTTTGACGAAAGAATTGAATCGTCAACTTTGCTAAGAACAATTGCCCCTGGGATATCCTCATTCAAGCAAAAATATTAAAAGAGGAGGGCAATGTTCACCTTAAGAAAGGTGAAGTCGTTCTTGCTGGGGCTAAGTATGATAGAGGATTGTAATTACTGTGTTTTATACTACCAAGAAATGAAGATGACTATGTTTTTCTAAGGACTCTTGCCATTTCCCTTGAGTTGAACCTCGTAGTTTGCGCCTTAAAGGTTTGAGATTATGAACAAACTAAGGACCTCTGCTTGCTAGTCATTATGCTTGATGATAACAACATGAAAGCCCTCTACAGAAGCCCTATAGCCGAAATCAAGCTCTTCCAACTCGAAGAGGCTTTTGAAGACCTTGGCAAAGCAGTCAAGGTAGAGCCTAATAATCAAAACATTCGCCGTAAATTGGAGAAGGTGGAGGGCCTAAGAAGAAAATCTAGCAAGCTCAAGGGCAAAAGAGGCACTGATGATTCCGACTTGTCACATGCCATCTTTAACAAAAAGGGGAAGACCAACAAGGCTGTTGTCAGCCTAGAATCTAACAGGTTGTCTAGGAGTGATATTCAGAGTGATGTCACGGAGTTACCTAACATGGACGCTGCTAGTGAGATGGTGGTAGAGAACCTTATCCCTATATAATCTGTCTTTCCTCCTTTGGAAAAGGGGGATGATGAGGCTACCAGCTTCCTAAATACCCAGGATTCTAGGCAAGTTAAGGACAAGGGATTAAGGAAAATCTGTATTTTCCTCAATAGATTGAGAGAAAATCAGTCCCTTAAGATTTCAGATGTGTCTTATTCGAACTTGAATCAAGGGAAAACCTTGAGTTTCTTCAAACATTTTGCTGTTTCATGGATGACTGTACGAGTGAAGGAAAAGACCACTCATGATGGACATTTTGATTCTCACAAGGCAAATGACTCCAAAGTTTTTGAAACCTTGTTCATGCCCATTATGAAGGATGAGCCGGAAAAGAGGGATCATGTCAAGAAGAGCCAAAAGAAAAAGGCCAAGCGACGTCTGGGCATTGCCGTGGTCAGTAATATTGTTGGACTTTACAAGCCCAATACAACTGCCGTTGAGTAGTTATATGATCATATCTACTGGCCTAACTTCTAGCAGAAATGAAGGTTCAAGTATCAAGGAGGGGAGTGAGGTTCCTGCGAGAGATTTAACTGCCACTGATATTGCTGATGTGGAATCCGTAGGTTCTAATAAGGTAGACCCCATGATTTTTGAACTTGAATAGGCACAGTCATTTCCATCACACTCTACCTTTACGTTCGCTGCCACCTTGAAGAAGCATGAAAGGCCAATCAGGTCAAGGGTGAAGAACTAGAGAGGTAAATGGTATTCCAGGTTTTGTTTTTGCAGGATCAAGAAACGCAAAGGAACAAGTTTGGAGCACCCTATGACTAATACCGGCGATAGATTCCCCCAATCCCATTATTTGCATCTTCAAGCAGTTCATAGTGTCTGTACCCCCAATTCCCAGTTTAGTTCTTATATTATTTTGGCTAAAAGAGTTAAATTTCCGTCTTATTGTCTTGAGTCAGTTGGGAGCTAGCCTCCTTTTTGGACTGTTGTAAAAAAAAAAAAGGATAGATATAAACCGATCATAACCTTTAACCATCAACTTAAGTTTTTAGTTGAGTAGGTTTTTTAACACATCCCATAGAGTACAATTACAGGTACCATGAATTTTGGAATGTGACAATGATATAGAATTAAACACAAGTTGTACTTGAATACATGTTGGATTACTTGTGATGCACGGAGTAATTAGTAAAATACTTGAAACACAAGTAGTACTACTTATCGTATATTAACACTTTGCGTTTGATAGGATACATCTAACTTAAATGTATTTTCAAAGACTTGTGGAAACGAGAGTAGGTTACATTTTTTTAATTACTCTAGATGCATCATGCCAAGGTGATTTTCCTTGAAATTCTTAATTAGTAAAAGGAATTTACGGAGAAATTCGAAGTTTAATAATAAGGTACCATATACTAATAAGTAGTTTAAAATGGATTGCATACATTTTCGAAATTTGAATTCACTCATTTTAAGGCTTCATTTCTTCACTGCACCCTAAATTAATACATAGTTATATTTAGTAAAAAATACATTTCATTTAGTAAAAATAAGTTAATTTTAATAAAATAAATTAAATCATTAAGAATAAATTTTAATCAGTAAAATTCAGTAAATATAAAAAACAAAATAAAATAGCGAATCAACAAACTAAGTTAAGTTCTACAAAAATAAAAGGATGATATGTGGTCTAAATCTCTTGACTCATATAATTAATTAAAATAAATTATACTAGAAATACCTTATCTTCCTTCAATTTACTACTCCGTGGCAATGATGTAATGGATAAAAGTTTATATAATGATAATTATTGGAATTAGAATAATAATCTAACATACCTTGCATAAAACGGATATGCTGTCAGAAGGTTGATCATTTACGCATATTGATGACTTTTTTTGCGTAAAATAAATATGCAATTTTCTTGGGTGCACATATAAATAGTAGCCATTGAAAAAGAATTTAGGAACTTTATCTATATATGCTATGCGGGCGTTATTACATGTTATTAAAATATTTCATGCAATTTTACTTTTAAACAAACTCTTTAATATTGATTAAGTCGTAGGAAGATAGAGTTTGTTATAAGGCAGTGATTATCCCCAACATTATACTATTGTTAAATACAAACATATTTATGTATGGAATAGGAGTACTAAACTTAGATTTATATTGAATCAATCTTTGTTTATTAGCCTCGAATTTCATAGTAATTAAATTACAATCACTTAACCAACTCTCTTTAGCAGAGAGCAAGAGTAGAATAGCTAGATGTTCACTTTTTCAATTGCAATAATAGATTAATTAAGAATTTAAGACATATATAAATTAAATAAACAAATCAAAGAAATGAAATTGCACAGAATTTTTGATAATCTCCCAAATACAATACATTATCATCTTCCTAATCCCTTCATGTACAATTCCCTAAATACCCATCCTTTTTCGTACAATTAAATCAAAATTATTTAGCAGAAAAAGTTATAAAAAAAAAATTAAAAAAAAAAGAAAAGAAAAAGAAAATTGAAAAAAAAGAGAGGTCGACATACATACCAATATTTTAATTAAGCTCACTATTATATTCAAGAAAATCACTTTCACAATCATCCACTCCCCAATCTTGCTTGATTTTCTCCCCTTCTTCTTTCCATAGCTACTAACACAAAAATAAAATTAAAAAATAAAAAAAATAAAATAAGATATCTAACTAAGCTAATTAACTAACTAATTAAAATTGCTTAATAATTAATTAAGCTCTAAATTCACCACCTTTTTTGTATCTTTTTTTTTTTTTTTTTTTTTTTTTTTTGAGTTTTACAAAGTTCTAGCAAGCAATTCTTGGTATCTTCTATAAGATTCAATCTTCTCCAACCTGAATTTCTCATGGCAATTAGCTATAAACAAATCAGCAAGTTTATCTATTTCATTCTCAACATTTTCTAATTCTCCTTCATTTAACTTCTCATTTTTGCCACCTTTTTCTTCTAACCATTGAAGATAACTTGAGAGCTGACCTTCTTCTTCATGTATCTTGTTACCATTACTCTTACAAACTTGATCATCACCTTCCTTATGAAGATCACGAGTTTCGTTGTCGGTGGAATAAACCGAGTTCCACGTAGAATCATAATATATATGGCTAGTAGGAGTGTTGACACCCTCTAGTATGGTGGGTGAAGGGATAGGCAATACGTGAGCCGACGAAGAACACCAATTGTAATGAAGTCTAAATGAGCCAAATAGTATTTTCTTCCTATACTTGTTCTTCTTCTTGGTTTGTTTCAAGTACATGAGTTGATTCTCCCGGAAAATCTCTAGGAAGATGGATTTGGCCTTGGAGAGTGCTCGAATAACGCGACAAATGTGGGAGAAAATTAGGTTGTGGATTAGGGTTTTGACCTTCATGGTTGTAAGAGAAGATGAAGTGGTAGAAGTTGAGGAAGATGAAGGTGATGATGATGATTTGTTCATGTTGTTAGAGAAAATGTGAATAGAAGAGAGAGGCTTTTAGGGTGTGAGAGGTTAACCATAATATTATTTTTTTGATGTTTATAAGAGAGAGGGATGGTGTTAATGTGTTATTGAGTGTTGTTCAAAATGAGATTTATAAAGGGACTCGTTTACCAATATGCCAACAAAATGGTGGGGTAATTTGAATTTTCAATAAAAGAAAAATAATAATAATAATAAAAAAATTGTTGTTAGCCACTTTTTTGCATGAGATGTTGTTCATATCTTCTTTTGCTTTCTTTTTCACTTTTTTTCGAGTGTTTGATTTCCCTCCATGTTTGTTTTGATGTTGAGGGGTAATATGATATATTTAAATATTCGTTTTTTTTTAAAAAACTATTTTGATGCTTTACTATGATAGGTATATATACTTACCTTTCTAACAATGAGTTAAATTTTTATAAATTACTAGAATTTATATTTAATTTCTCCCTTCATCCTGTCTGGATTAATAATCATGTTGATAGTGTACTTTATTTGAACCAACTAGCAATATATATATATACGATGGCCAAAATTTGGACATTAGTGTATCTCTTTTAATCAACACTCTTAGTGACATATAAAAGGATTGACAATGACACAATTTTCTTAACAGTGTAAAGATTATCAAATTAGCCATACATCCCTTAAAATGACATATATTACAAAAAGACAACATAACAACGTAAATTCAAAGAGCCCGTTATTAAAAAAATAAAAAAATTCAAAGAGGGTAATTATCTCATCGATTTGTGCCTTTAAGCGTATTACAAATCATATCAAACAAATTAAAGTATTTAAACATGAAGGCCAACCATGTTCATTTGATGTGTTACTTTTTCATGGAAAGAAGAGATAATTAACCGAAGTAACGGTGGTCCTAACTTCAGTTAATCTACTTGATATTACATTAATAATAGATTAATAACAGTAATTATAAATTCCCTTTGGTGTAACGTTGAAGTTTTATTAGGACTGTAATAAAAGCTAAACATATCCCAAGGGAAAAAATTAACGAAAATTACTAAAATATGAATATCTGACACTCGATTTAACCGCTTTAGTAAGAGTATTTTCAATAGTGAGGTTAAAATGGTAATTTGATAGTTGCTGATGCTCAGCCGTTTATGCATGTAATTCTTGCTTCATGCATATAGACATTGACCGAGTCTCCCGCTTCATCAGTTTATTAGCTAGTATTTGGCCTTTGCTCACATTGGGATTTATACAAATTAAGCAAGAACAAAATGTAGATATTTAGTCAATTATTTCCACCAATCTAGGGATTTTTTCACCTTTTGAGATATAAGGAAATTCAACAAAAAATGCATTCACTCTAATGTCTCCGTGTACAAATTTACCTCATCAATCAAGAAGTCCATGGTATAATCGGTTGTATTATGCGGTATGTTACAAGCAATGCTATCTCTCAACCTATTTACTCATTTATAGATCACCAAAATAAGCAAAATTGAGTAAATAAATAGCTTTGGACCTTTGGTTGTACCTTACACATTGTATAACCTATTGTACCAATAGACTGCCCAATTCATACATAGTAGCTAGTTGATCGAAAACTTTTTCACATTTTCTGATAAAAATGAATAACGAATGAATTTTCGAGCATACTTCTACTAGTATTTCAATGAAATTGAGAAAAAGGAAGGGAAAAAACAATTATAAAATAGATATTTTGTAATGATCAAAATTTCAAATATGAGATACAAACACATTGCCTCGGTAAATGTATGTCTCCTCTCCAAATTTAGCGATCCTGACGTACTGAACAAAGGTAACCCGTATCAGAATTAATTTGAATAAATTGGACCTAAAACAATCTTATGTATCTTATCATGATCATACATATTTGAACTTTTTGGCCGTTTGTTTGAACTAATTATTGTTGGCGATTGCAAAACTTATTTTATATGAACATAACAAATTAAGCTTCAGTGTGCATGATTAAGAAAGTACCTTAAATAATCGCTGTTATGTACCTGTGTGCATGATTGTAACCTACAATTTTTTTCATCGCATTCTTATGATTTAGCATAGTACTTTGATCTCGTCAAAAAAAAAAGCATAGTACTTTGATCTCTTCAGTTTAGAGAATATGTACAGTTGAATGGTATATTTGTCACACCCTCTGATCATCAACAAAATACCCTAACTACATACAAAAAAAAAAAAAAAAAAATGACATACACTAATCAGAAGTACAAAAAATAATTAATGAATACTAAAACTTTGATGATGTTACGGAAAATCATGAAGATATAATCAGATCCAAAAGAAATGGGTAAAAGGTACGTGTTCCAACAACATAAAGAATCTTGGAGAGTCACATTTTGATATTCCCTCGATTAAAGTTGGAAATTATTAAAAAAAAAAAAAAAAAACATAATTTAAAATTAAAATAAATTATAATGAAAAATATAAATAAAAAGTAAATAAAATAAAAAAGGGGGTGTAAGTCAGGACAGTGGTATACGCAGTAGGATAGGAGAGGCAACCGAGTCTGTCGCCTCTTAATCCGGCTGAGCCAAAACTCGATGAGGTAAATAAGCCCGATTCTACGCCGATCATATTTTTAATTTGGCTTTAATCTACAACATAATGACAAATTATCTATGAATATGATTTTAATTAACTTTGTTAATTGTATTTAATTTGTTTGATCTTTTTGTTATGTTATAGTTTTGGCACTAGTCATATTTTTGTAAATTAAAATGTTACTATGTATTTTCCAAAAAAAATAAACAAAAAAAAAATGTTACTATGTATAATATATATTGTAATCTGATCTAGTGTTATTATAATTATTGTTAGAAACATGGGAGATGATTATGGATAGCATAACTTGCATGTTGATCGATGATTGATCTATGTTTGCAAATTTTTATTATACGTTTGGGTGTGCTTAAAGAAAGGGTATTACATTTAGTGGAGCTTGTAGCTTGTTAGATACTTGCTTTTAATTAATATTGCCTTACTAGGATAATCTAATCTATAGTCCTATTTATCTCAACAATTATAATTGATGTTTAAGTTCTAAAACGCTATTGCTGAACAGGATCAATGTCATTCACACGGCAACAAGGACATGACATGCATGCACTACTACAAGATGCATGCATATCGTTGAGTGCATACGTTGAGATGTTGTTACTTGACTTGATTTGAAACCAATAAAATCTAGTACATACAATAATACAATAGGGTTAGAGTTTATTTGAACTTGATCATTTATATTGTAACAAAGCTTCAATTATTTTGTCAGAAGTTGAATTGGTCATAAATCTTATGATACATTATGACTTTATGAGAGTGTGTGGAAGTAATATGTGAGTTATTGGTCGTCATGTATGACTGAAATTCTTTCAATCCTTACGAAATTATAAGGTTTGGAAGAGTAAAGACTTGTAATACTTCATACCTAAGCTATTTAATTATTATCATACAGACTTTCTAAGTTGCTTCACATATGCTAACAGAACACGTAGACTAGGAGGAAAACAAGTAGTACGAAGTAAGTATAAGAATAGGCCAACTAGAAAAACGACACGTAACATATTACACATACACGCTCTAAATCTCTCCTAGTTACGAAGTACAGAGTATTAAGTAGTGTTATAATGTGCTTGACTGCTTGAAGCAAGTAGTCAAAAGATTTTCTACGGACCATAAATGGAGTTTGGAGTGCTTAATAAGTTGTTTCATCATATTAATGACCGGTTTAAAGTTTGATTAGGTAATATGCGACTATTCCTTTAGATGCTGCTACAATAAAGGGCTTGGTTTTCCATCAAATCTCAAAATTAATTAAGGCCCGGCCTAGACTTGTCTCTCGGAAAATGGCGACACCGGGTGGATCGAAATATGTGGATGTATGCTTACTATCGAATTTCATACTCCTACCGTTCCTAAATATAGTTCTCGATTGGAAAATAACATGGGAATTAACAAATATGAGGAAGAAGTACTAAAAGTATATGGGAAAACCAAGTTGATTTGATGATAATCACTTGCAAAAAAGATATGAGAGAAAAGATACATTTTACTTTTTTCGATGAGAAAAATGATTAATATAAACAAGGAGAGTAATGATTAATAACGAAGAAGAAAAAAATTAGAGAATACTTTTGGCACTTCACCTAATAAAGACAAAAAAAATTAAGGATAAATGGGTGATTTCCAAGAAAAGAAGAAATGAGAACTATATTTATTAGGACCACCAAAAATGAAAATGGGAACTATATTTACGAACAGAGAGACTATGTTTTAGGTCTCGTATATAATCTCACTTTTAGAAGATAGTACGCCAAAGAATATGCTAAATTAAGAGCCTATATATATCACAATTTGAGTGTTTTGACATCAAATTTGTGCGGTGCGCTCTTGTCTTTTGTCAACAAGGACGCTAATCAGGCGTGGAAGACACTTGTGAGCACAAAGCAACACTAGCGGGAAACGATCTTAAAAGGCACTCTTGTCATTCTAGGGTCTTTAATAAATTTATCTGATTTTGGGATGCTTTAAAACATGTATGTTATGACACAATATTTATATTCCCAAGCACACAAGTATCAAAGTAAGAGGAACAATGGGTAAAAGTTTGGATTTTATCAAACATTTGCCCTCTAAAGAGCGCATTTTTGGTTTAACAGTATTCTCGTAGTGAGCACTTAATTGTAAGTAACAATAATTTCTTCTAGAACCTATAAAACTAAGTAAAGACCTAAAAGGCTTGAAATACATTCAGAGGGAGTTGAATTCTAACACTATGATATGACACAAAAACAGAGTTAATGATTCGATTAATCATGTGATCATTAGGTTAATTAGGCATAATAATACAATCAACGAGCGTTGGTTTGGAGGTTATTACTATACTTGTTACATAAGTTTTTTTTTTAGGAACTTGTTACATAAGTTTTTATATATTGAGTAGCTTGCATTGACCGCTTAAGATCGAGTTC